GTCTCTAGATTCTGGTACATTCATTTTTTTTTTTTATTTTTTTTTTTTTTTTTTTTTTTTTTTTTTTTTTGGGGGGGGGGGGGCATTCAAGTTGTTTATTAGCTTCTAATTTGGGTAAAATTTTAGGATTCTCTTTTTTAAACTATAATTTAATTTTCTTAAACTTTTTGGGAACCTTGTCTTCAGTTTCAATTGCTGTCATGTCATATTGCTGTTTCTTGCCTCAAGTGATTTTTTTGCAAGTTTGACATGTTCCTCTTGCCACATTTTTTCAGTTTTACAGTACAGATGCATGAGGAAAAAAGGCTGTGCAAATCATTTCCTCCCTGAAGTAGAGCTGAAATATCATCATTTTGGTAGGTGTAAGGGAGAGAAGAAAAAAAGAAGAAAAAAAATAAAATAAAAAGTAACCTTGTTTCAGTGGGAAGAGAAGATTTGAGTGGGAGGTGAGATCAGAAGGGAGACAATGATTTTGGGAGGCCTTTGAAGAATTTATGAAAGTGTCATCAAAAAGAGTAATTTTCCAGTATTATAAAAGTTTATCTTGATGCTTCATTTATACCTAAAGGGCATATGCTTCACCTCTCACTGTAACAGGAGCTTTATGCCGAGTCTTCCCAGACTTTCCAGGCAGCTTTCATTCCTCCCCAGCACTTCCCCAGTGCTCTGCATACCAATAATCGTCTCGCAGCTCTTCCCAAAAAGCACAATGGGCATGGACTAGGAGCAGAGGAAGAGATGGGCAGTGTGTGCCAGCATGCCATCAACTTGAATGTTTTCCTGAGGTAAGACGGAGATTAGCACAGGGAGGTAAAATATTAGAAGTACTTTTAGTTGCAAGATCTCGTCCTTATTTTATCACTTGGAAAAGAAAGGTTTTTTATTTCATGCCGTATTTAATTCTGCAGGTGTGTTTCCTATGTGCACACGAAGGCAATGGCAGTGGTGTTGTGGCAGGGATGTGACTCCCTGGCTGTGCCTGGCTGGGACACAGCTCCTGCCTGGCAGCAGGGCAGTGCAACACGCAGGATGCCCGCTTGTGAGGGGCAGGTGCTTAGAAAATTATATCCACGAAGGGACCTGGGAACAGCAATGTCATTTGAGGTGTCCAGGAGGCAGCATGCAGGGCCAGAAGTTGCTGCTGTGCTGTTGTTTAGCTCTCTGTGGTAGATGCTGTTGCTCTTCAGATTCCTACATAATGTCCTGCCAGGGCGCTCAGGGTGGGTGACCTTGCTTTGTGAGCTTTGCAGTGCCTGGCAGGGGCACAAAAAATGAGTTTTGGGGGGAAGGGAAGGTGGAGGTGATTGCCTTGCCCACTGACATCATGTTCAAGATATTCACAAATGGACGTGGGAAGTTTTTTAACCTTTAAAAAGGTTTTTAAAAACCTTGACACTTTTAAAAGTCTCCTCCTAGCTCAATTTATACAGGAATTTTTTTCCACATGTAGTTGCCATGAGTATCTGGGGTTAGGTTATTCTCAATTCTTCTGTTAAAGACCCTCCATTTCACTTAAATAATTAGTCACTGAGAAATGCTTTTACAATAGTCTGCTGGCTGGGGCTCTGCCCTGGATTCCAGTCCCTGTTCCACATCACAGTGAATAAAACCTGCCTCCATGACCCTCCTGCATGGTTAAAGGAGATCGGGTGACAGTGGAGTGTCCCTTCCCCATCCCATGGGACAGACTGGCTCCTCCTAGTTCCTATTCCAAAAGGGATTTACAGCTGAACGTCCAAACTGGAGAAAGGTTTGTTGTTAAAGGTGCTTTAGAGCCCTCCAGCCTTCTTCCTGCTCAGCCCTGCTGGGTTTGCTCTGTTGGCTGTGATTTACCCTGCAGTGCCTGGGCAGCCTCCGTGCCTGGCCAATTTAATAATTTCACTTCAGCAGCAGGCCTGTGAGGCAGGAGTTCAGGATGTAGGAAAACTGCTAAATAAAACATAAGGGAATGCAAAAATAATCATTTAATGGACATTATGAAAGGACAGTAAACCAAACAGTTCAGTCCAATGGATGATGTATAACATCTAAACAAATATGACAACTAATTAAGGATTAGGTTCTGCGTTTTGGATGACAGGCCTTATAAAAATGAACAGCTAGGTTATGTTGGGGGGAAAAAAAAAGCTGCATTTTGCAAATGTCAGGCAGACAGCTCAGTAAGCAGAAAAGCTCAGTTATCCAATTAAAATAAATGTGCAGTGTTCTCAATATAAAAAGCTAAAGCATCCTTATGTCGAGGAGTTAAGATGCTGAAATATAAGTGGAATAAAAAGTGCTCTCTATAAAGATTAATGTAATCTATCAAGATTAACATTTTGCATGCTGGCAAAGGCAGATAGTAATGTGTTTCAATTCATGAAATTGGAAACATTAGACTAAGATCAGTACCAATTTAAACCCCAGGTAACCCCAAATATTGAATTGAATTAATTATTTACAACCACTGAGGGCTAATAACTTGCCCTGATGGCTTCTGTGGGAAATAGATATTTACAGTAGGTGCTCTCCTATTCCCCATAATCCTCCCTGGTACTTCATGTGAAATGTAATTACAAGTTGCATAAATGCAATTTAGGAAAAAGTCTTCCACTAGAAATAATTCTGATTTATTCAGGGGTTTTATTCCTGTCCTAAGAAAGAATAAGGCTGGTTTGAACATTGTCATGTGCATGGGGTATCAGGGAGAGGCCATAAAGTTTCAAGGCCACCAGTAGGGGACATGGTTAAACCTATTTTTTTTGTTGCTTTCTAACAAAAGGAGGTTATTGTATAACAGTGGAAAGCAAGCACTGGGGAGGGACCACAAAACCAATTAAACTAGGTTGCACTTGATTTGTAGGAAAAAAAGATTCCACTATCTACACTTCCAGCAGAGCATATGTTTGGTTTTTTTGGTTTTGTTTTCTTTTTAAGCTAAGATTTAAACCTGCCCTTTGATGCAGGTCTTCAAAATAAGAATTTCTAAGTCTGGAAACGTGTAACAAAATTTCAAAAAGGATATTCAGTTCAAGGTATTTTC